TATATGCCTGCAAGAGAAACCATACCACACATTTGAAAACCTGACCAAACTCCAAATAGGAAAGAACTTCACCTAAGAAGCAATACTCGTACTTAAATGTGCCTAGGACACCAAGTTTATGGAAAGATAAGCAAAAGCTGACTCTGGAACAATAATGTTCAGCAAAATAGCTGCTGTGTCCAAATCCAGAAAAGGTAGCATTATTCTAACGTACACAAGTTTGCATAGCATCCTTCTTCCTCATGAGTGGGCTCAGGTGTGAAGAATCAGCATAACAGTGAATGGTGTCAGTGGCTCTAACTATGGCCACATTAAATGGAGAAAGACAACAGAATACCTACTAACGTTTTGAAATTACTACTTATTTCTTACAAAGAAATAGGGAAGGGGCTGTTGTTACACCTCAGTAATTCTTTTGAAAGATTCATAGCTATTCTTCCTTTCTTCCTAAGCCTTGTTAACTCAATCTCTTCTATCCCATTCAGCTCTTGGAAGACAATGAAGGGCTGTGGAAATAGCTCAGTAGAAAAAGTACCTACTACTCAAGCATGAGGAACTGAGTTCAGATCTTCTGCACCTTGTAAAGAGTCAAGTATAGGATGCATTCCTGTCAACAGTCCTGAGGAGGCCAAGGGTTGACTGGCAGATCCTTGGAAAGGGAGGATTCCTGGAGCTCACTAGCCATCTAGTCTTTCCAAATCAGTGAACTCCATGTTCACTGAGAGACCCTATCACCCTGTGTCGACCTTGCCAAGGAAGTGGGAGGGGCTCTTGCAGCAGCACCTGTCCCTGAGGGTTTGTACAATTAACACTCGATAATGGGGGGAGAGATATTTTCTTCAGTGCCACACTGGTAAGGCACCCAAGTTCCTGTAGGTAAAGTCTCACTCACACTCAAGTAAACAACTCTAGTGAAACTCATTTAGTTGCAGAAGGAAGAAAAAGAAAGGCTAAAGATAGAAATGGAACTAGTTGGGAAGACAGCAGGAGTAAGAGAAGAGTGAGAGAGTAAAGTGGGAGTGACCAAACATATTATGTACATGTATCAAAATAGCATAGTAAAAGTGATTACATACAATTAATATATGCTGACAAAATCATTTCAAATTAAATAAGTAATGCAGAATAGTATAAAGAAAGACACCAGTATCAACCCCTTGCTTCTATGCACAGGCACCCATAGTCACATACATATAAATGTACATCACTAACATTTTGAGATTGAGAGAGAATAAGGGGAGAGAGGGAAGGAAAGAGGAAGAGAGACATGGAGAGAGATAGAGAGAATGCAAAATAGAACAGAAGCATGAAACTCACCAGCATTACTTATACAAGGGAATAGATCAATTTAAAAGCATCTGGCATATATTAACCTGGCAGGAAACCTTGCTCTGTGGAATCGCTGACATGTAATACTGATCAAGTCACCTCTATCCATTGTCCTTCTGTTTATTAATCACCTATTGCCTGCTCAATACAGGGAAATATCAAAACATTTAACATTGCAAGGGTTGATATAAAAAGACTAAAGCAACTGTATGGTCTAGAAAACTTAGAGTATAATTAGCTAGGCAAGAAGTTACAGAATACACTGAGTAATAAATAAACTAGTCATCATTAACTCCAAAAAGATGAAGAAGTTCTTCTTGAAGAATAAATACAGAAACCATAAAAATTACAATAGAGACCTCTCTTGAATCACCCCTTCACAGTGTAGGCTTGGCATGTGAATCAGATGTGGTCCAGGCTGACACTGTTCTGTACTACTAGTTGGTTTTCCTGTCAAGATGCCTAAGGAAGTGCATGGTGGAGAGGGAGAAGAGTTCAGATCTTCTGCACCTTGTAAAAAGCCAAGCATAGGATGCATTCCTGTCAGCAGTCCTCAGGAGGCCAAGAGTTCACAGGAAGATCCCTGGAACTCACTAGCTCATCTTTGCCTTTCAGACAGAAATTGATCAGCTCACATCCCTCATCATCAATACTTTCTATTGAAACAAGGAAATTTTCCTTTGGGAGTTGATCTCTAATGCTTCTGATGCCTTGAACAAGATTTGCTACAAGAGCAGGAGCACACACTGACTTTGGTGGACACAGGCATTGCCATGACCAGGACCAACCTCATATATAAGTTGGGAGCCACTGCTAAATCTGGCATGAAGGCATTCATTGAGGCTCTCCAGGCTGGTACAGGCATCTCCATGACTGGCAGTTTGGTGTTGGATTCTATTCAGTCTATCTAGTGTCAGAGAGAGTGGTTATGAGCACAAAGCACAATAATGAATGAGCGGTATGCCTGGGAGTCTTCTGCTGATGGATCCTTCACCATCTGTACAGACCATCATGAGCACATTGGCTGCGGTACCAAAGTGATCGATTCTTCACCTCAAAGAAGACCAAGCAGACTACTTAAAGGAGAGGATTGTTGGGAGCCGACTCTTAGCCGAAAGTGGCTATCATCTTTACAGCCATCTCGAGCCATATACCCTGACAAGAGACTTGTTTCAACAGCCTGCAATAGCTGAGCGCACTCTGATAAACATCTTGTTACACTGTTTAGTGCCCCCAGCTGCCAGGTGCTCCTGGTATCCATGGCTACAAGGCACGTGACGTAGTGGCTTCAGTTGAGATTGTCCACGAGGGCAAGTCACGTGGTAAAGGGTATAAATACCCAGGATTTCCCTTCTATAGGAGAGTAGAGCAGTAGAGGAGTAGAGGAGTAGAGGAGTCGAGGAGGTAGAGGTAGAAAGTAGGAGGTAGTAAGTAGTAGGAAGTAGAGGAAGGAGAGAGAAAGTGAGAGGTGTCAGGAGACTGAAGGAGTGAGAATATAGTAAGAAGAGAGGAGAATAAAGAAGACTTGAAGAGACTCCACCGGACTCTGGCTTGTATCTATCTTTTGCGTCTCTCGCCCCTTTTTTCCCCTTCCTCTGTCCCCACTCTCTCTTGCTAGACCCTGACCTGCCGACCGGAGCAGCAGAACCGGCCGGCCTTTACAAAGTAACAGAACCTGACGGCCGTTACAAAAGAAACGGCAGTTACAGAGGATGGCCAAGGTTGTCATGAAAAAATACTCACAGTTTATAGACTATCCTATCACCCTCTACTTGGAGAAGGAATGAAAGAAGATCAGTGATGACAAAGCAGAGGAAAAGAAAGGCGAGAAAGAAGATAAGGATGATGAGGAGAAGCCTAAGATTGAAGGTGTGGTATCAGACAAGGAAGATGACAGTGGCAAAGATAAGAAAAGAAAACAAAGAAGATTAAGGACAAATACATTGGTCGGGAGAAGCTGAATAAAACTGAGCCTATTTGAACCAGAAACCCTGATGACATCACTCAAGAGGAATATAGTGAATTCTATAAGATCCCCATCTATAAGATCATCAATGATAGGGAAGGTCAATCAGCAGTCAAGCACTTCCCTGTAGAAGGTCACTTGGAACTCGGGGAATTGTTCCTCATTCCTTAACAAGATCCCTCTGATCTTTTCAAGAACAAGAAGAACAACATCAAACTATATGTCCATTTTGTGTTCATCATAAACAACTATGATGAGCCAATAGCTGAGTATTTCAACTTTATCTGTGGTGTAGTTGACTCCAAAAACCTGCCCCTCAACATCTTGCAAGATATGCTCCAGCAGAAAAAGATCCTGAAAGTCATGACCAAATCATTGTGGAAAGATGTCTTGAGTTCTTCTCTGAATTTGGCTGAAGCCAAAGAGAACTGCAAGAAATTTTATGAGGCATTCTCCAAGATTTTAAAGCTTAGAATCCATGAAGATTCCACTAACCACCAGTGCCTCTCTGAGCTCCACTATCACACCTAGAGATGAGATGACTTTCCTGTCAGAGTATGTGTCTTGAATGAAGACATAGACATCCATCTACCATATTACTGGTGAGAGCAAACTGCAAGTGAATAAATCTGCCTTTGTGGAGTGTGTGTGGAAGCAGGGCTTTGTGGTGGTGAATGTGACTGAGCCTATTGATGAATACTGTGTACAGTACATCAAGGAATTTGATGGAAAGAGCCTGGTCAAAGGGCTTAGGGCTACCAGAGGATGAAGAAGAGAAGAAGAAAATGGAATCAAGCAAGGCAAAGTTTGAGAATCTCTGCAAGCTTATAAAAGAGATCTTAGACAAGAAGGCTGAAAAGGTGACAATGTGTTCTAGGCTTGTCTTTACCTTGCTGCACTGTGACAAGCACATATGGCTGGACATCCAACACAAAGCAGATCTGAAGGCCTAAGGCACTATGAGACATCTTTACAATGGGCTATATGATGTCCACAGAGCACCTAGAGATCAAACCTGACCACCGCATAGTGGAGACCCTGAAGCAGAAGGCTGAGGCAGACAAGTATGACAAAGCTGTTGTTTGACCTGGTGGTTTTGCTACCTGAGACTGTTCTGCTCTCTTCTGGTTTCTCACCTGAGGATTCCCACACCCACTCTGACTGCATCTACCACATGATCAAACTATGCCTAGGCATTGCCGAAGATGAGGTGACAGCAGAGGAGCCCAGAGTTGCTGTTCCTGATGAGATCTCCTGACTTTGGGATGATGAGGATGCTTCTTGCATGGAAGAAGTGGATTAGAGACCTCCTGGGATGCCTGTGCCCTCTGTGTTCCCTGTGGCTTCCCAGTAGCCTTGACTGGCCCTGACCACAGAGGACTCTGGCCCTCTGCTCAAGTCTAGAGGATCTTGTCTATCCTGTCTTTGTTCCTTAAGGCAGGAAAATAGTCTCTCACAGGATAGCAGGGTTAAGTATTGTGTATGGGGTTCTTGTTTGCTTTATTTTGTTCTAAAATTAAAAGAATACAAAATAAAAAAGATGCAGTTTTACACAAACAAAAATTATAATGGAAAGGCATTTATCTCCTGCTGGAACAGCTAGTCTTATAAAAAAAAAAAAAAAACATTGCTATGTTCACATATTCCATAACTCAAGTGAAAATGGGAGGGGGAAAGAAGGTGAGAAAAAAAACAGCTGCCTCCCTCCCCCTGACACTGGGCGAAGAAACACTTTGTTGGCGGTGGTGTTCTTATATCAGTCAGGGGCAGAGCAGACAGCAGTCCTTTGTTCATCCTAGCTTGATGCCTGGCTTGGTGGCCAAAGCTATTTTATACCTACAACTCACAAAAATAAAATCAAATTGAGGTAGTACAGGAGGAGGAAGACGCCATGTGGTGCTGGTGGGAAAAGACACTCACAGACATTACCTCCACCTCACAGAACAGGCCAGGCTGCAGGCACACATTTGCTGCGACATCACACAGCATGGATGGAGGATGTCACCCAGGGGGTCTGTCAGCCATGTGACCAGCCTGCAGCAGGAGCAAGCACAATATGCAAAAATCTGGTGGACAAATGGAAGAGAGAGAGAGGCGGGGCAGCTTGAGCAGTCTCAAGGGTGGAGAAGAGTAGACTGTCAGAAGTGGCCAGCCTTGCCACTTGGGGCCACTGTGAGGTCCCAGCCCAAGCTGCCGCTGAGGGCCATGTCTAGGTCTGTGGCTATACAGCAGCAGGTGTCAGTGTTGATGTCTGTGGCACTAGAGAACATGGGGATATCCTTAGCCATGGCAGCCACGGGGACCACATGGATGTCCAGGGACTCTGCAGAGCTAGCCCTACCTCTCACTGGCTGTGGTACTCTGGAGAGCTGACCACCTCTCAACAGCTGCAGCACTCGGGCCCTGTACCTCACACGAGCTGGCCCTGGTGGCAGGGTGTGGGTGAGCTGGTCCTGAGAGTAGGAGAGTTGGGAAAGCTGACTCCAGCCATCCAGAAAGCTGCCCAGAGTGTCCTAAACTTGGGAGACCTGGCTGTGCCCCTCATCAGCTGCAGCACTCGAAAGAGCAGGCCCGGCACTTCACCTGGACAGCATAGCAGTGCTGACCCTTGTGGAGGGGTTCCAGGTGAGCTGGCCCCAAGGGAATGAGCAAAAGAGAGCTGGCCCTGCCATTCCTCTGCCAAGAAATGGCCTGAGGGAGGGGGATGCCCTCCACCCCATTGTACTGGAGGCAGTCAGAAGAACTGACCCCAGGGGTCATGAGAGTGGGTAAGCTGGCCCTGCCCCCTTATTAGTTGTAACACTCCAGGAGAGCAGGACCCTACACCTTACGTGTACAACATAGTAGAGCTGGTCCTGATGGCACCGGTGACCCAACCCTGGAATATGAGAGTGGGAGAGCAGGCCCAGCCCCTCATAGGCTGCAGCACTTGGGAGAATGACCCCCACACCTTGACTGGGCAGCACAGTGGAGCTGGCTTTGGAAGCATGAATGTGGGTGAGCTGGCCCTGAGGGCATGAGAGGAGGAGAGCTCCCTGCCTCCTGCTGATGGCCGCACTGGGTGGCCTAGCAGGAGCAGTGCCTTAGAACCCTGGTGGTACAGATCAGGAAGATCCAGCACACTGAGAAGCTCAGATACCACCCAGGCCAGATCCAGGGCACTGACTTAGCCCACCCCAAATTCTATATCATCTGTGAATGGTTGGGACGTGTGAAAGGGTCAGTCCTGCTGTTCCAAATCTGGACAATCCTCATGACACAGGACAACAACAGGAAAACCAGGAGGAATCCCAGTGAGGATCCAATCTTGATGGTGTCACAGAAGCCAGAGATCTCAAACCAGACCAATGACTCATTGCAAAGAACAATTGCAAGTGAAGATGTGTGGACAGGGAGCTATACTGTGGGGCACACTATGACAGACCACAAATTCCATGATGTGATGGCTTTCTATGCTTTGTTGTTGTTGTTGTTATTGGTGGGGTGGTGGTGGGGGGTGTGTGTGTGTATGTGTGTGTATGTGTGTTTGTCTGTGGGTTCATTTGGCAGAGGGTGGTTGCAAGAGCAAAGGGTGGCTATGAGGGGATGAGAAGATGAGTGTATCTAGTATGCACAATGTGAAACTCACAAGAAATTAATAAAGACTTTGAAAAAACAGCTGGCTTAATATGGAACAATAGGAAAGGGTGTCCTGAAAGGCTGAGTGTGAGTTAAGTTTGCACAGGACATTCTAGAGTGAGGATCTGAAAGTCAATGCTGTGTGCTGGGCACAGAGCAGATACTCTGTGCTGTTCTAGAGGCAGCTATGAAGAAAGCAATGGATGGAACCAAGCAGGGAACAATTCATGAAGAAGAGGGAGCCGTAGGGTGAGGTGCTGCAAAACTAAGTCCCAAAACCAACTCCAAAAGTATTGAACTAGAAATTCCAATTATTAAAAAAAAAAAACCTTCAGACATCTAAGATAATTTCTAATCGAGAAAACACGACACTCATGTATTGTAGGCTAAGCCCTAGAGCCTTAGCCAGAAATTTTTTCTGCAGGAGAATGAAAATTTCCCATCTCTCATGAAGAATAGTGAATCAAAGTATCCAGCTTGTTTATTTTTTTTTTTTTTTTTTTTTAGTTTTTCGAGACAGGGTTTGTCTGTGTAGCCCTGGCTGTCCTGGAACTCACTCTGTAGACCAGGCTAGCCTCAAACTCAGAAATCCACCTGCCTCTGCCTCCCAAGTGCTGGGATTAAAGGTGTGCGAGTATCCAGCTTGTAAAGATATCACTGTTCTCTTATTAACTCTGGAGATACTTAAAGAAGTTAAGATGTCATCCCTCCTCCGTGCCAGGATGTAAGGACCCAGAATAGACTGGTATTTGTGTCACTAATATTCAGAAAAGATGGCACCCATTGGTTCCAAGGTTACCATCACCTTAATCCAACAGATCCTTAAAAAACGGAGTCTGTTCAAACAAGCACTTTACTTTGGTGAGAATGTCTGCATGACTCCCTCCAAGTTGCTGTCAATAGGACTGGAATTGATGTCAAGGTTTGACATTAGTGTCAGATCCAGAAGGGATCCTAGCCTTACCAGGTTAAACATTCAAACAGACTTTAGTCAAAATGTATAATCATCGATTTTGTCATTTCCCTGGTAAAAAATTGTTCATAACTGAACCGTGTCAGTGTTTAGCATATTTTCTAAATTTAAAAAAAAATCAAAGTTTCAAAGATAATTATAAGGATAAGATTTTTATTATTCTTTACTGTTTGTTCATAAGAAGTCCTCATAGCAGAACATAGAAAAATCCATCTTCCTTGCAGATAGTTCCAAGATTCCAAAAAAACAAATCACTTCCTGGACTATTGTATAATATTGACTATTGGGAGCAGGAATCAAATAGGCACTGTATTGTCAATCAAGAGAATTCCATACTGTGAAGGACTTTTCTGCTGGCTACAGGCTATTTAGCAGAATCCTGACCTCTAAAAGGCTAGTAGCACCTTCCCGTCCCAGTTATCCAACCAAAGTCATCACCAGATGTTGCAGAACATCACCCCTCTTCCAGGGAGTGAAATTTTTCTCTACTTGAAAACCAGATATAAAAAAGAAAAACAACTTAGATTCTAAACTCCTCTGGGCTCAGCATTCCAAGCATCTTTTTAAAGTGATGGTCGCTGTCCTGGCTTCTGTCCATGTGAAATCTGCTGTTTGTTACGATCTCTTCAGAGGAAAGTGTGAATGCCCTGTTTCTTGACAAATGACTTTAATTATTAGATTGTACCACAATGTGTATCAAAGTACAAGGGCAAAGCCTTAGCGCTGCTGTCAAGACAACCGATGCCTCTCCAAGCAAAGGAAAAATCAAAAACTTGTAGGATGCCAGTTGAGTAGAATCTGAAGCCAAAGGAGAGTGCCACGGCCACAGCTGAGCACCTGGTACTTTGTGGACGAGCTGAATACTCAAGAAAATTGAGACTTCAAATGAGCTTCCACCTAACAAGCTGCAATTTTGTTTCACTGGGGCTCAAGGAGAGGACAAGTTGGAGAAGAAACCAGGGGAGAATTCAACTGACAGTCTATTTGCTAATTCAGTGAGGAGCTCAAGACAATCTTCAGAATGCCGCAAGACAAAAGTGTCATTATCTGTAATTACTGCTTACCAGTAGCTCGGATTGATAACAAGCTTCCTCACCAATCTTACCCCGCCATTATGAGAAGAGGCGATTAAACTAATTAACAAATCAACTTTTCTGTGGAACATTGGACTCAATAGCAGAAAATAATGAAGAAAAAAAAAGGCTAGCTTATCTGGAGAGATGAGATGAAATAGAAATCTGAAGCAAACAGTGCGATGGACAGAAAGCTAACCAGCAAATGCATACATTGTAGCAAAAATATCAAATGAGCCTCAGGAATTATCAGGCCGTACAATCAAAGCTACACTTAAATTGAAGGTGTTTTCTCACATCGATTGTGCACTCCTGCACATGTACAAAAATAAAATATAAAAATAATAGCTCATTTACAGAGAAGTTAGACTCTCAACAGCATCACATATCTTGGAAACTAACAAACAACCACAAAAATCATACTTTTTGCTATAAAGTCATTTTATAAGAAAAGGAAAACACACTCCCCTCAGTGGCTCCATTCTTCAGTGGAAAATGTCTAGACAGCCCCTGGTAATCACCATGCTACCCAGAGCTATCTCTACTCTGAGGCCCTTCACAGAGGTGTTCCATAAGTATGCTTGATAGTTTTATACAATCTAAAGTCATCTGAAAGGAACAAATCTTAGTTAAAAAAAATGCCTCCATAAGATTTGGCTGTGGACAAGCCTGTAGGGTATTTTCTTATTAATGATTGAGGAGCGGCAGCAGCCCACTGTGGATGGTGTCATGCTTGGGCCGGTGGTCCTGAATTCTATAAGGAAGGCATCATCTGCAAGCCAGTAAGCATCACCCCTCCATGGCCTCTGCATCAGCTCCTGCCTCCAGGTTCCTGGCCTGTTTGAGTTTCTGTCTTGAGTTCTCTTGCTGATAAGCAGTGATATAGAAATGTAAGACAAATAATTCCCTTCTTCTCCAAGTTGCTTTTTGATCATGGTGTTTCATCACAGCAACAGAAACCCTAACTAGGACAATAAGCGTCTATGGAAGTTCTGTCCAGTAAAGTCTACATAGCCATCTTCGTGGCTACCAACCACTTGAAATGTGGTCAGTGAGATATGGAGCTGTATTTTTAATTTAACTTCAATCAACTTCAACATAAAAACTGATACTCATTTCAATTACTAGAAAACTTAAATATGTATGAAATAACTACTATTTATTCAGCTATAAATTTTATAAAAT